TAAGGTTTGCGTAAATGGTAGAAATGATTCACATAGAAGCGTATAAAGTGTACGAAATGGAAAGGTTTGCATAGTGGGTCGCATGAGTCGTAGGAATAATAGTTAGAAGGGTCGTAGAGATATATAGAATATAGAGAATTAGAAAAGGGTCGTAATGAATCAAAAGAGTCGTAAAGAATTTAGGTCGTATTTAATCAACTGAGATCTTAGTAGGGTCGTAGTGAATTACATGAGTGAGTCGTAGTCTCATATTTATCTATCTCCCCCTCTATATGTGTATTGACAATAATATGTGTTAGTTGTAATACTCTAGGATAATCTGGGATATGATATTTTGGATTTTGTATTGATTCATTGGTTTATAAATACATTACATTTTCCCATTATATGATTTACATGTTTGTTATATATATTGGTATCCTTGAATCATTACAGGATGATTCTAAACTCCCTGTTCAGTTATCATTGTGGGAGCAATGATAAATTAAGACCAACATGAGGTGTGATTGATGATCATAGTAATGATCATATATGCATTGGATGCGAATCACAATTATATATACTCGTTTAATTGTTGTGTGTATATGTACATATATATGCATTTGTTTGGCCGTTTTCAATGAATGAGGTGTTGGGGTTACATCCGAATCATTTACTAAGCATATAGATTAGGACGTTATGTAACGTCCTAAAATAGGAGAATCGTGAAGGATTCACAACGGTTGCACGACCAGATATACGTTTTAGATGGATGTTCTCGAGGAGGATCACAACGGAAATGGAGGGAATCGACATTAGATAAAGCTCATGAGGATAACCGATCCATTAAAAAACAGGGCCTTACTCTGTGTGAATCTGCAACAACATATTCATCATTAGAACAAAAACACATCTTGATCTCTTCTCTATGTTGGTTGCAATGGATGTTTATTATTTTGAATATGTAATTGATATATATTAGGTAGAGTATATATTCATCAAGAAGACATATGTGAACAAGACAAGAAGAGATGAATCATAGTTATGAGTGTATTGTAGAATGAAAGGTGTATAATTATTATATGTTTGATATTATGGGTTGTGGATGTATTGTAAAATTAAATTATTATAATTTTAAAATGATATTTAAGTCTGTAGAATAATTATAAATACAAAACTGCATTGTCTTTACAAATGTTTCTTTGTAATAGTAACATGCATTTATTTAGGGGTGGACAAAAAATCCGAAATTCGGGTATCTGTCCCGATCCGTGAGGTGAGTACCCGAAATTAGGATACCCGGATATGATATGACATAAGATCAGGTAATATTATAAAAATACCCAAAATTCATGTTCGAGTTCGGGTAATTATTTTCGAGTCGGATAATTACCCACAGGTACCCGGAATGAATGAACTTACAATTTTACCCTTGTTTAATTATATTTAAGAAAACATAAAATAAACCCTAGATTTCTATTTTCTTCGTGAGCTTCTTATCTTACCTTGTGCGTCGTTGTTCTCGTCCACCTACAGAAGAATTTTCTTCCACATTTCACATTCTTCTCACACCAATTTTTTTTCTCCCACATAACTCACGTCGGCGATTAGGTTTGAAGCTTCCTCTCCCGTTGATTGCTCGTTTTATGTAGTAAGTTTCAAGTCATATTTTCATTTTTCGACTCAGATTCAGACCATGATTTTCTATTTTTTTACTCAGGTTCAAACCGTGATTTCTCCTGGTTCCATTTTGTTCGTCGACTATAGATTGCTCGTTTTCTGGGTAAGATTCTTCCATAGTTGTCCGGTTGCTTCTTTGTTTGAATTTCATTTTTTTTTGCCAGATTCCGTGTTTGTTCTTTTCGATTCAGTGATAATTATTCGTGTTGTAACTTCTGTTTAATTTGGTTTCCCCGGCATGATTGTGTATTGGACAAAAGTTGATGATTTTTTTATGCAACTTTCACTCATCATCAATAAAATGCGTCGTCAAACACATGTAGTTAATGTTTTGAACGGATGTCCAAGTATCCGTTGTGAGAGAAACACTCCCTTTGTGTTTCCTAAAAAAATCATGCAACACATTCCTTTCCTCTATAAACAAATTTATGCAATCCCTAGTTATCGTGCTTCTTGATGGAATAATAAATCGAGGTTGAAACACGCACAAATTCCTTAAAACCCACTCTTTCAACAAATCTAAAGGGTAATTCGTCCAATATGATCATCTGGATCAAAGCTTTCCGACATAATTCCTGATTAAATACCAATAATGAAGTAACCCCTCTAGTTTGATCACCTTTCGGTTGATAAAACAAAGTCGCTTGCTTTAGCCTCTTTAAACTTTGATTATCACTATCCTCATGAGGTTTCTTTTTTGCAAACTCTTAAGTGTTTCAATATAGCACTTGTTGATGTGCCCATAAATGTGGAACAATTAATAGAAGAATTACAATGATCGCATAGAACTCTTTATCCATCGCTAGTTTTTTTAAAATGGTTCCAAACATCAGATTTGGGCTTAGGAGGTAAAAATACCTTCTTATCATTAGACACATCTCCTTGGATAGGGATATCTTCATCTCTGACACTACTCTGTGATGCCGAAACTATTGTTTCACTCGTTTGAGATACACTGTTTGGTGTCTCTGAACTTTCAGCCATAGAGGACATGCTAATTTCGATCATTATACTCTGCCACAACACACAAAAAATCATGTAAAAAATTTGGTCAACATTCTACAAAAAATCTGATCAATAAAAGTCGAAGAAAACTATTATTTTCTCAACTTAGAAACATACACATACACACACACTCACACTCTCATAATCTGATTCGATCACTCATTACCAAGCCAAGAATATGAAATCAACTAAACAAAACAACATAGCCTATGTTTCAGAAACTTCAAAAATTCATTCAACATACATCTATATATTAGAAAATTGATGGTGAAGAAATGTTTGAATGCAAGCGCCAAATGATGTGAGACTAAAGTACTTGAAAAAGAAGTTTAAGACGTGGGGAACAAGCATTTTGGATGGTGAGTTTTTGCATATGAGATGTGGAGCTCACATTTTGGGTTTGGTTGTGAAAGATGGTTTGAAAGATTTGTATGAATCTATTTGTCGCATTTGTTTGGCAGTTCGATATGAGGTCTTCTACAAATAGAGCTGAAAAATTTAAGAAATGTTTGGAACGATCCGACCTTGATACTAGAGTTAAAGTTAGTTTGGATGTAGAAACAAGGTGGAATGCTACATATTTGATGTTGGAGTCAGCTTTAAAGCTTAAGAAAGCATTTGATATGCTTGAGTTCGTAGAAGAAACATATGTGGAAGACCTTTCAAAAATGGTTATGGCCCGCTGAGAGAGGTTAATTGAATTTATGCTCAATCTTTTCTATCTACTTTGAAGTATTTTTATGATACGACTTTAAAAATATTTGGAACTCAATACGTTATTGTGAGTGAATGTATGAGGGAGATATTTGGTTTGGGGTATAGAGTTAAACGATTGTTTAATTCTAGTGATGAAAGTAAGAGGTCTATGACTGTGAGGATGACGATGAAGTTCGATAAGTATTGTTATTTAGATAGTGTGAATATGATTGTTTTTGTAGAGGGTGTTCTTGATCCTTGATATAAGTTGAAATATGTAGTTTGGATGATTCGTGAAAGTTATAATGATAAAACATTTATTTTGCCTTTATTTTGTATTTACCCGTTATTTATATATTTGATTGACGGAAATATGAAAACATGAAACTCAACATTTTAGGAGAATTTAAGAATAATGATGTTTAAAACAATATTCTATAATTAATCTTTATTTTTTTAAAAATAATGCACTTTAAAACAAATTAATTGCATTACTACAAATTTTTATGTTTATAATTATTGTAATCATAATTATAATATAATAATTATAATAATTAGATTTGTTAGAAATGGTGAATAATATTTATTTACAGTTAATATTATTTATTGCTGGAAAACGGATCTTTCAAAAAATAACTTCACTATAGTTTTATATTTAATTTTATTATATTCATATTTATAATATAAAATTATCCAATAGAATTTAATATTATTTAAAATTATTTTATAATTATTTAATAAATTAGTACACAATCTTGAGATGACAAATAAAAAAAAGGAAAGATTCCATAAAAATTCCCCAATTTCTACAAATGTGCCATAAAAAAAATCCCTAACTGAATATTTGTCAAATATATTCTCCAAATAAAAAATTTATTCCAAATCAATCCCCTAGAAAACAAGACGTTAACGGCCGTTTAATACATCTGACATGGCATTTTTACTTGCAGCTTCCAACATATTTTCTTGCCACGTCAATTACGAAGTAAATGCCACATCAAATATTTTTTTGCCAAGTTAGCAATCCGATATGCATATTAACCGGTTAACATTAAAGACATGTCGTGTGATTAAATTAATATGGCTTTTGTATAGAAACCCATTACAACAATTTACAATCACCTCACTCCTCTGAAAGCTTGAAGAAGCTTTCATGGCGGATTAATTTGATTTAAAACAGTGAGCCGCTCCAACTAACGAGGTGAGGGACGTAAGATGGTAAAGTTAAATTAGGGTTAAATTGATTTAAAATCCGGTTATACGTTAAACCGATTTCAATTAAATTGTATAATGTTAACCGATTTTAGGTAGATCGGTTTGTTGATTTGGCAAAAAAAATTGACGTGTAAATGACGTGACAAGAAAATTTGTTTAACACTGTAAATAAAAATGGCATGTCAGAAATATTAAACGGCACATTGACACCGTATTTACTAGGGTATTGGTTTGTAATAAAGTTTTTTATTTGGGGAATATTGATAAAATTTTAATTGGGGAATTTTTATGGTATATTTATAGAAATTGGTGAATTTTTATGGAATGTTTCCTAAAAAAAGATATGGATAGCTTTTTAATTTAACAAATTGATATTATGTATAACAACGTATTTATAACAGAAACCCTAACCTAAATTCATGATTTGACTTTGACTCGGTGCTAATTTGATGGGATCATCCATGAACGTGAAGTTGAGTCCGCGAAATCTAGGGCTTACAGTATATCTTTCTTTCATCATCCTCTGCTGGGCGATTGAGTGTGGAGGAGAGTCTGGGACGTGTTTGGCTGATTACAAGGAGGGGGGAGCTCCGGCGGTGTTTCGATCCCCGCACTGTCCTCTCCGGAGTCTCCAGGATGGTGCGTACTCCCCCGAAAGCGGTCATTGCCAGACGGCGGTGATGAAGGGCCGGAGGAAGTACATGGAGGATCGAATTTTCTGCGCTCTCGATCTTCGAATCCCCTTCCCCGGTATGCTTTATTTCTATTATGGTTTCTTATCGACACGCTGAGGCGATGATAATTGAATTCCTTCACAAGCTAGGCATCTTCGTCTGGTTGTTGCTTTATCTACAGGTTTAGTATCACCGGTGAAATCATTTTAACCTTGGAAACCTTCATTTACCACATTCTCTTTCAAAAATCATTCGCAAACGTTTATACTGGCGCTGTTGTGTAAAACTCTTTTGACGTTGGTGCAGGCAAGGCTGGGCCAAAGGATGTTGTGGTTGGAGTGGCAGCCGTTTTCGATGGGCACAATGGAGCAGAAGCGAGCGAGATGGCTTCAAAACTTCTGTTCAACTACTTTGCTTTGCATACCAACCTTCTGTTGGATGCGACATATTCTGTTGTTCCGAAGGAGATGACCGGAAGATTACCTGATGGAGGAAAATGCGATCTGATTTTGAACGCCACCAATTGGGACAGAGCCATGCATCAAGATATGCTTAATTTTGAAAGGTAATCTTCGCTTCGTTTCCAGAAATCATCAGTGTCGAGGAATCTTTGGCCATGTATTCAATGCTCACCCGATGTCAGTTTACAGAGAAATTGTTTCCAAATTTGTAGATTGTTTACTGCGATGTGGTTTCCTATCTCTTTGACAGGTTTAGATTTACATCGCCGTTAAATTTTGACGATTCTTTCCACTTGGATATTCTAAAGGAAGCATTAGTGAGAGCAATCCGTGATATTGATGCCATATTTTCTCAGGTAAAGCAGATGCATTCTACTTCATGTTTAGAACATTCTAAATAACCCATCCCTTCTTAATATCATGGTTTTAAACAACCAGCTTAGCCCCATTATCTTTTTTATCCAGGAAGCGTATAGAAGGAATTTGGATTCAGGTTCAACAGCCGCCATTGCACTGATTGCAGATGGCCAGCTGTTGGTTGCCAACATCGGTGATTCAAAGGCCCTTCTGTGTTCCGAAAAGTTTGAGACTCCGGAGGAGGCTAGGGGTTAGTATCACCCTTTTCTGAGATCAAGTTATCTAACGTAATCCTGTTGAGGTGTTATTGTCCGGATAATGTAGTTAGATGAGGAACCTCCAACTGTCTCCTCCCCCCCACTTTCCTTGTAGTTTAGTCTCTGACTTTGGCATCACACTGGAAATTTCAATTATAGATAGTAGTAATTTGGTGTTAAACTTCGCAGGAAAAATATTTATAGGTGGTGTGGTCTTAACAGTCTGTCATTTTGCTACACCTTGTTGCAGCTTCTCTATTAAAGTTGTATAGAGAGCAAAGGCGCAATGGGAACATTTTGCCGTCCACTCTCCGTGATTTAAAGCTGAAAAGTACCAATGGGCGAGTTCGTTATCATGTCAAAGAATTAACAGAGGATCATCACCCAGATAGAGAGGACGAAAAAATGCGGGTTGAAGCTGCTGGCGGTCATGTTGTCGAATGGGCTGGAGTGCCGAGAGTGAATGGTCAGCTGGCTGTCTCCCGTGCAATCGGTGACGTGTCTTTTAAAAGGTAGGTTGCATTACTCTGTAATACGTATCCAATTCAGCAATATGAGTGATGAGGAGATATGCGATTCTCATTATGCCATATTCCCCTTGCTATCGTTTAGTTATGGTGTCATATCTGCACCCGAGGTGATAGACTGGCGGCCTCTAGTGGCCAACGACAGCTTTTTGGTGGTGGCATCCGATGGCATCTTCGAGAAGCAGAGCTTGCAGGATGTCTGTGATCTCTTGTGGGAAGCAAAAGACCCCGCAAGTTCTGGTAAAAGGCTACCTCCGCACTGTTCATCGTCTTTGGCAGACTGCTTGGTAAATGCAGCCTTTGAGAAGGGAAGTATGGACAATATGGCAGCCGTTGTGGTCCCTCTATGTTGAGTGTAAGAAGAGAAATGGATAATGGCAAACAGTTGATTTTTTGTTATCAACATTGAAATTAAAAGTATATAATCTAATACTTGTTGGTAAACCTTGACTAACCATATTTAGCAATTTTTATTAGACTGTTTGAAACTTTAATCTTGTTTTTATTTGTGCTTTATGTTATGTTTTATACCAGACCGAATCGAACCGAAATTTTTTTTTCGAATCGAACAAACCAAATAACATTTGGCAATAATTTGGTACAATTTTTCTAAAACCGAATAAATTATTTCTGAACTGGGCCGTCAAAATATTGAATCAAATTCGATAAATATTGAATAAAAACCTAAACTATTCACAATTATATGTGTGTTTATGTATAAATTTCAATGTTCGGTTTATATTTTATACTCAAATAATAAAACTGAACTGTATCCAACCGATTAATATTAGGCTATAATTTAGTACAATTATTATAAAATTGAATAAACCATTTGTCTATATACATAAGAACGAAAAAAATAATATACTAGAAAATAAAAACAGAAAAAATGGGTTAATGAGATTTAATTTGCATCCTAATCATAAATCATGCCATGTTAGTTTGATGTGATTCAGTACAATTAGCTACGACTCAATTTAAATATCCTCGACTCAATATAATTAGCTACGACTCATTTTACCATTCGCATATGTACGACCGAATTTATCTGCCAACGTCTCAGTTAACCATTCGCATCCATACGACTCGCTACTATCAATCAACTGATCGATATGACTCGCACGACTACCTGATTCGTCTGTGCATCAAGTATATCTCGCTACTTCTAACTCTTTAAGGCAACATTGACTATATACGATCTACACCTAGGGACGTCTTTCATTACAACTCGAATCGGTCGTTTCAACGACCTACTACGACCCTATCAATCGTTTTAGTATCTGTGACATCCATAACCCGTATCCCGTAAATACGAGTTGTGTCACTGGGATAGTAAACCGTAAAATACACAAAAGCCAAAATACGAAAATTTTAATTTTATTTACTTATACGCAACGAAAAGTAATTATTACAATAAATACCCATGTCCATTAGATATAATACAAAACCAAGGAAATATATGTTTCCATACCCATATACCATATAATTTGTACGTGTTGCTACTCCTCGAACATCGTCAGAACTATTCCTCGTACTCCTCGTGATTTGAAAAATGTTAATCAACGAGGACTAAACACAACTGTTTAGTGAGTGATCCGAGTTGAATCCAGAGATCCCGTTCTCATGGAGAACGATGCCAACTAACATTTCTATCCAAAAATTTCGTATTATCAATTTCATCCATTTAATTCCACACAAATAGTCCATAATTACTTATCAATTCCAATTAAACCCTAACGATCACCATCATAGGGTTATCCCACGCATCATCAATACTTGATAGTACTGACTGAATTCGTCAAGCGGTACTATCGTGTATCATTTCCATTGGTATCATCCAGTACTTACTCTACTTCATCTATCGGTACAACCCTATTTCTCTGTAATAGTACTGACTCCACTTCGTCAACCGGTACTATTACAGAGACGACCACACAGATCCACCAGTACTGACTCTATATGTCAATCGGTATTGGCTTCACTATACATTCCTATAACAATACTGAATCCCTTCGTCAACCAATACTGTTATAGAAATGTCCACACAAATACACCAATACTGACTTTACTTCGTCAATCGGTACTGGTGTAACATTGCGGTAGTAGTACTGACTCAATTCTCAACCTGTACTATTATAGAAACGTCCACATAAACCCTCCAATACTCACTTAATTCGTTTACCGGTACTGGTTTCACCACATATTTTTATAATAGAAATGATTCCACCTCGTCAATCGGTACTATTATAGAATATCCACGCAACCTGTCAATACTAACTCAATTTGTCAACCGATACTAAGTAGTGGTCCCACAACCATTCAATCTCAAACATATCTACAGTCATTTATCTCTTATTTCCACATTACTATTCTCCGAATTCTCTCTAAATTTATTCATCGCTCTGACATCGGCTTGCAATTTTCGTTTTCCCTTGATGTATTTTTCCACATTATCCGCCTTCGTTTTATCCACGTATTTTATCGTTTTCATTCAATTACAGTTTATCCCGTTGAGTTTTCCTTATTTTGGACTAATCCGGTCCGAAAACAGACCGTCCGGGTTGATCGAAAATATCGGGAATTCTCCCTATGTCTAGACCGTCGGTTTCTGCTGTCTGCACCGCACAGTCTGCATGACACACCGTCGATTTTGCACGTTTTTTTAGAGGGGATAGGCTCGAGAGGGAAGAAGCAAAAGTATAACGACGAGAGAAAAATGGGGATGGCGGACAGTTTTGATAATACATATTTGCGTTGAAAAAGGGTAATAAATTGTGTTATATACATTTTCGAATGTAAACGTGTGAAGTTATTATTATTTTTCTCTATTACACGAGGCATATATGGTTGAAATACAATTCCCATTCGAGAAGAAAGGGCTTCACTGGCGAGCGAATTTCAAAAGGCAAAGAAAAGTATACGCAGAAAAATATCTCGTCATTCTGCAATTTTTTTTTTTCATTCTCCTCTCTCAGAGCCTACTTTTCCGAATTCTCTCGCTGATTTCTTACTATTTTCTCGGCGAAAATGGTGAGTTTTTGTCTCCATTACTCAACTTCTGTCTCTCTCATTCACTGGATTTACTTTGAGATTCCGTATTTTGCGTTTCATCGGTGCATTTTTTTTTTTGCGATTAAGCGTTCCGTGTTTGATTTCCCGATTCTGATGAGTTTGATCCGATCTTATTCTGATTAAAATTTCAGAAATCGGAAAATTTGTAGTTCGAATATGTATCTTCGATTGTCTGATCTGAAATCCTGAATATCATCTTACTCTTTTGCTCCAATGAGTTGAAATTTGAGCTATTTCTGTGGATGAATTGATTCGTGATACAAAATTTCTTACTGATCTCCATGATTTGCTGGTTTTTCTTTGACCTAATTGACCTCGTCTATTTTTGTGTCGGTGTCTGTATTTGAGGTCGTATTGCAACGTGTATTAGCTACGAGTGGAATCAGGAATTTTCATTTCACTAAGAATCTTGTAGTTACGAATGCATTATGAAGTGATACAGGGATTTCCTATCATCGGCTCGTTGCTTGGTTAAGTTAGTATCGTTGTTATAAAGGGTGACAGTATTTATCTTTCGGAGCCATTGAATATGATATTTGGTAAAATGGTTGTTGCAAAGCAGGGTTGGTAGTTTAGAAAACAAGTTTTTTTTATGGCTTTCAAGTGAATTTACAAGAGCGGTGGTTAATGACCAAATTATTATTCTGTTCTTCCTCCTTAATTTTCGGCTTTGGGTTTCAATAAAGTAGGTTCCTACATCTATCAGCAGAGAAGTTTTCCATTTTAGAAAAGGTTGATTTTATATGTTTCTTCGCTGCAATTCGTTCTCGGAATGGCTCAAATAGGAGTTCGTTGAGTAGCTCGAATACCAGTTATATAAAGTCTCAGTTTGTATATGCTGTCACATGAATCTCAGCATGCAAATAACATTCTACAAATGTTAGAAGTTTGTTTAGCTGACTCTTGACCTGATGAAAAGGCTCAGCCTTGTCTTATGTAAGTCTAGCGAGTGGTGACTGCTTAACATTATCCTTTCTTCAGGCAAACGCAGCTTCTGGTGTGGCCGTGCACGATGATTGCAAGCTGAGATTTCTAGATCTCAAGGCGAAAAGGACTTACCGATACGTAGTCTACAAAATCGAGATGGACCAGAAACAAGTTGTTGTCGAAAAACTCGGTGAACCAACCGAAAGCTACGAGGCTTTTGCTGCCAGCCTCCCTGCAGATGAATGCCGATATGCCGTCTACGATTTCGACTATGTCACGGATGAGAATTGCCAGAAAAGCCGCATTGTTTTCGTCGCCTGGTAGTGATGACGAAGAACCCTATTGTTATCTCATTCTGAATATACAAACCGTTTGTAGTATGATTAATGTTTTTTGGTCGTGATAAGGTCACCCGACGAGTCAAAGGTGAGGAACAAGATGATATATGCAAGCTCTAAGGATAGGTTCAAGAGAGAGCTTGAGGGGATCCAGATCGAACTCCAAGCCACCGATCCAACCGAAATGGGTCTCGATGTGATAAGGAGCCGTTCGACGTGATAAGGAGCCGTTTGAGGAGATCATTGGTTTGGAGTGTTTGTTTTATTTGTTTGTGTCCGTGAGTTGATGCCATGATTGTTATGTCTTGTGGAATCGTGGTCGGAGGTTGTGTTTGTTTGAAGACAAAAAGACGTATTCTTTGAGAGGTTTGATCAACTCTTTCCGGTTTTTGCCCTAAACCATAAATGTCTGGACATGAAATTTTATGTAAGATCCGATCGTTCGTTTCTTCGGATTCATGATCTAAGTAACATCTCTTTCTTCTTCTTAATTTTCATATTTCGAAAATAATGCTTAATGTTTATTTGTGCAAAGAAGAAAAAAGATGGTAGGTTACCTGCTACATCTATCTATCATGTATCATAAGTAACTAATTTTGGTCAATTAACGAAGAGAGTGCATATTTTTTTTTTTTTAAAGATTGAAACTTAAATATAAAAAGTTTAATCTTAACATAAAGATATAAATATTACTAGACTTGTCTACTTCGATTTTTTCGACTTCTTGAAATTCATGATCGTATGGTAAATATTTTGATATCTTTACCATTGCAACAATAAAAAAAAATGATAACTAAATTAAACAACTAAAATTCAGGGGTGGACACTAGGCATCTAGTTCAGACCCGAATCGGAATGAACCAAATGATATTCGGTTCTAAATTTAATATATATATTTTTTAGAATTGAACCGTATAAATATCTGTTTATTCTGTCTATGGAGATACTTTCGAGAATGCTAGACCGTGGAGCTACGGAACAAAGGTTGTGCTTGCACCCGAAATGTGAGTCACCACTCATAACTCATCTCACATTTGCAGATGATGTTATGATCTTCACCACTGGAGACGCACAATCACTGGTTCATGTCAAGGAGATTCTAGCAACCTTCAGTGGGTACTCGGGACTTCATTTGAACATGGCGAAAACCGAAATATTCCTCGGGGGCATGACACAGCAGGAAGCTTCGGACCTTAGTGCATCGCTTGGGATCCAAGTAGGGACACTACCTGTTAGGTACTTGGAGGTGCCTTTGAGCCACTCGCGCATGTCTAAATCAGATTATCAACCTTTGCTGGACAGAATCAAAGCAAAACTCACCTCCTGGACCACCAAGAAACTATCTTATGCGGAGAGGATACAATTAATAAGCTCAGTTATATATGACCTAGTAAATGCTTGGGGAATGGTGTTTCTGTTGCTGAAATACTTCATGAAGCAAGTGGACAGTCTTTGCTCGGGGTTCCTCTGGTCTGGCAATGCCACAACGAAGGGCTCATAGGGTATCATGGAGCAACATTTGCAAGCTGAAGAGAGAGGGGGGGCTAGGACTCCGAAGTAGACCTTCCGACTGAAGCTTATTTGGCTCTTATTTGCTAAATCGGGTTCCTTATAGGCAGTTTGGACGCGGAACAACGTTTTCAAGGGAAAGGGTTTCTGGAACGCTCATCTTCTCCTCGGTTCTCATGGAACATGAGAAAATTGCTTAGTCTAAAAGACGTGGCAATGAGATTACTGACCATCAGGATTGGTAATGGGAGAACAACCCTTTTTTGGCATGATCCATGGACAACGCTTGGTTCACTTATTAGCTACGTAGGTGAATCGGGACCACGAAGCTTCAGGTTGTCATCCCTGGCAAATGTCAGTAGTGCAACAAATGCTGAAAGATGGGCTTTGCCAAGCGCACGTTCCGACAGACAACAAGAACTTCTTACACACCTAGCCGCTCTAACACCCCCGACTGCGGATGGACCGACGGATCAACCCTTGTGGAAGTATGGCGAAGACGACTACAGGACATACTTTTAGCACAGCAAAAACCGGGAATCGCCATGAAGTGTCCCCATGGCACTTTATGATCTGGTTCTCAAAGGGCATACCTAGGTACGTTTTTTTGCTTTGACAGGTCATGTTGAGCAGATTACCAACAAAAGATCGGATGCACCGTTGGGGGATCATGTCGGAAACTTCATGCGTATTGTGTGAAGGAGGAGATGAGAGCCAAGCACACCTGTTTTTCGAGAGTAGCTTCAGTGCAGAAGTTTGGAGTCACTTCGCGGCGTTATTTTGGTCGAACCCACCTTCGACTGCCTACCGATGTGTGGGATGGATTGCGGAATCGAGAAACCTAGGGGACCGGAGCAGGAAACAACTTACCAAATTGCTCGTGCAGATCACCACATACGAGTTATGGAAGGAGCGGAATCATCGTATCTTTCGGAACCAGAGGAGGCCGACTAGCTACACAAAGTGAAAGATTGATCGCACCATGCAGAATATCCTCGTATCTATCAAAGGGAGACCTTCGAGAGATTCAAACTCTATACTTGAAGATTGGTACTACTTAAGGATGTGCGCATACAGTTTTTGATGCATGAATGTTTCTTTTTGGAGAGATTTTTCTTTTTACCATTATGATCATGAGTTCCACAATTCTGTAAAATAACTGATGTATTTCATTTTAGTCTATAATAGAAATCACATTTAAAACAAAAAAAATATATATAAATATTATAATTTAATACTTATTTGATATTTATATAACGAAATTATTTCGAATCAAACCGATACTAAAACTGAACAGTTCCGTTTAACATTCGCTTTTGATATGATATATTATATATAAAACCGAAAATACTATTCTCAAACCAAACCGCTTTAATACCGAACCAAAAAACGTACAATTCATGCCAACATGATATTCACGTCCTGCATTGTCTAACCACCCCAATTCTCGGACGGGCGTCAAGAAAAGTGCGAATATATATTCTTGAAATGCAAACTCGACGCCAAAATTTAAAAAAAAAATACGACAAAAAAAGCAAGTGAAGAACAAAAATCAGGGTTGGAAGCTTCTGAAGGCTTTTTTTTTTAAGAACGAGGCTTCTCTTTCTTTTCCTTGAAGAGGGCCAAGAGGGAAACACCAGAGACCTTCACCACCTTGAACCTGACTCCAGGAATATCTCCGACGGCATGACCCTTCCGACCAAAACCTGCGATCAAGACCTCATCCTGCCACAACAATCCAACAGCTAAAAATCAGAAAAACCAACGATCGAAAAGGAGCCGAGGGAGTGTGAAGAAGCATAGTGTTCAAAGAGCTTTGATTTTCGGAAACGCCCTTCCTATAGTACTACTGGGTCTAATCCACTCCCTTCATTTAAGAATGAGAAATTGGAATCCTTTGTCATTGATAGTCAAATTCACTTCGAATTAACCATTTTGACTAACCCTCTAGTTTATAGGTAAATTATAAGCAAAAAAAAAAGTAGGGACGAGAATGAAGAGTGCAGAGCAATACGTTTTCTTCGATGTAGTTCAAACAACCATCGTTGGGGACGAATGCTGCGATCTTTTTCCCGTTCTTGATCAGCTGAACCCTAGCACACTTACGGATGGCAGAATTCGGTTGCTTAGCCTCGATACCACTGTGCATATTATCACACAGGCATTAGTCAGATCAGATTTGATGATAACCATAGAGCAACAGATGTAATAACACATACATATCAAGCACGAGAATAGGGAATGTGCATTGAGAATTTTCAGCCTTACATCTTCTCGAGGACGATGCCTTTGGCATGTGAAGAACCGGCAAAGGGTTTCTTCCATTCATTCCCGAGGTGAGACTTCTTGTAAGACTTGTCGGCCCACCTCTGCCTTCTGCGGTGGTTTCGCAGCTTGCGGGCAGCTCCCATACCTCGTGTCTTCCTGAACAGAGTCAATATTACAAAAGAACGAACCTTCGTCAATCCCTAACCTAAGATTCTGTGAATCCACAACAAAACAGTATACAACGGCGGACACTGCGAACGCGTAACCCAAAAATTTCCAAATACGAGCACACAACAAAATCCTCTAGCTCTGACCAAACTGCGAACGCTCGCTCGGCTAGAATCGAAAACCGTGAGAATCTAACGAATCCTAGAACGATCAGAGAATACGAACCATCTCTCTAAGAGAACAAAACAAAAGGGTATATGGTAATCGTTACACGTTTCTACAACGATAGAAAGAACAAATGAACACTAACAGAGAACGAGAATCGTAGATCAAAGAGAGAAAACCATACCCCATGTCGGCGAATGTGAGTGAGAGCGCGGCGACAAGAGGAGAGAGAACGCGGCGAAGAGAGAGAGAGTAAGCGGCGACTAAAACCCTAACGCAATGCCGAACGAGAAAGCTTCATCAATATATCGTCGTCGGGTTTTTGGACTAGAACCCTCTAATCCAATGCGAGTCTACGCTTTGCATGGGCTGAACCCACGCATACATTCTAAATTAAATAGTATAATTCGCTGTAACTTTTATTGGTTTGAGGTGGAATGAAAGCTGCAGAGAAGAAACCGAAATTCAATCCAGATACAGATTTACATCTAACCGTAATTCAATCCAGATACCGGTTTGCACCTAAACCGAAGTTTTAAAAAAAATAATCCATTCTCCTCGTTACTTCCTAGTAGGGCTTTGCACAAATACCCGAAAATCGGGTATTGGTCGGATATTCCTCTCACAGATACCCGATTTTAGGATACTTGTAATTTTCAAATCCGAATCCAAATCACAATTTTTTAATATCCGTGAATCCGAATCCAAATCTGGATAATAGAATTTTTAAAACCGAATAGCCGTGAGTACCCGACTATTATGATTATAAATAATTATATCTTATATTTATATAACATTTTTGTAAAATATAATTATTTTAGATTAAATAATTTCATATTTTTTAATATTAATTCAAAAATTAAATTTATTATTATTTATCTCTTATTAGCTCTTTTTATCTCATATATTTTATCATAATTCATTAATTTTTATAAATATATCTTTATTTTTTTGAAAATTTTATATATGAATATTATTGTTTTTCTTAAATTAATCCGGATCCGGATACCTACGAATATCTGACCATTATTCCGGATATCCGTACCCCGGATACTCGTAAATATCAAATACCAGATACAAATCTTATAGTTAAATATTCAAGCCCTCCCCAGATCCAAATCCGAATCTCTCGATTTTCCGATTATCCGACCCATGCCCACCCCTACTTTCTCTGCTAACATCCCCTCCTCTCCACTTTTCTGCATCTAAACCAGGCGGATGACATTTTCTCCCCCTCCATCTCACCTTTGCTCTCTCTCTCTCTCACTACGAGTTTAATCCAGCCAACACTCCTCGTCTCTTCATCTCCTCAAAAAACGAACCAAGTAAGATCGATCTCTCACTCTCATTCTCACTTTGGCTCTCTTTCGATTGTGAACAGGTAGCATCTATGGCTCTCTTTGGACTCTGGCTCTCTTTAATAGCTAAATATGCATTATCTGTTGTAATGTAGTTGGTAATCGGAAGAAATAACGCTTTGTAGCTAAGCTATTGATGGAAAACCCATTTGTAATCTAGGGTTTCTGGTTTAGGAGTTTATGATAGATTCTGTTGCGGATTGTGGGTGCGGATGAATTTATCTGTCCGACGCTGCTAAATGTGTTTCATATTATGATGCACAATCAACGTGAGCGGTTTCTAGATGGGTATCGAGA